GGTTCAGTTATGTGCAGTTTTTCTTTCCAATTCAGACCAAAATATTCGAGACAAAGCGCGATTGATTCTGTACCTTCACAACAATTGAAATACTTTCTATTCTTGCTTCATATCTTTTGCAGAATGCAAATCCGTATGGTGTGCTCCTGATTTAACACAAATTTTAGCCAAAGTCAAATCTTAGCTTTCAACTAAACGAGGGTATAAAGATTTATTTACCTTTCTCGGCCACTGAGGCCACAATGCTGCTTGATATGTTCTTCAGCACACTGAATCCATCCATTTGAAATATGTCAGTTTCTGAAAAGATTTTTCAACTTGGACTTTCGTACCTTTGCGTACGAAGATACATGGAAGAAATTACAGAATCTCGAGGTATTTGAAATTAATTACTTCGAATGACCTGCCTCTGCTCCATGGATCTTGCAATCCATTGGCGAAAATGTTGTTGCTACCAAACCTCGAGTACTTGTTCAAAAAAAAAAAAGGTTGAACCCCAACCTTAAGGGTCCCCCACTGCCCCTGTCCTGGAGTATCGTGAGGGAGGTAAATCGCAGGTTATGCCTCTAAGAGTACAGGGTGGAAGGCTACTTGTACACTTGCATTTACTCAAGAGCCAAATCCATATTTCAGAATTCGAACCCTTGACACGGCAGCCTCAAGCAAAGCTGGATTTCTCCACCCTCTCCTTTTACCACTTGGAGATGTGCCCTAGGGGCAACTTGTTCAATCATCTATTCAGACAATTCTCATATAAGCTTGATTCGAAAAAATAATACAATCTCTTCAAATTTGTTATCAAATGGTACAATTATTGTTCAATGGTAGTCTCGTTTTTCATCTTTGTACAACTCGTATAAACTTCCATTAAACAACAAAAAAAACCTTTGAACACAAATCTAAAATCCATTTTTTTCTTCTCAAACACTTACATCTCTTCTATGTCTACTTGAATGTGCGCGCTTTATTCAATTTCAATTTATAAATTACTGTCATGCATGTCCGTTCAACAACCACCATACACTTATATTCAACATTCACCAACTAACGTGCAACCTATGTTTCCTTCACTAGTATACGAAAAGAGAAATAAAAAACATTAAAAATAATGGAGCAGGGGATTGCCCCGCCTCCCTTAAGCAGGAAAAGAAACGGTAGATTCCCCAAGTGGGGAGGGAGGGGGGACGGTGTCCCCCGTTCTGCCCTATTGCCATCGCTTACTCAATTCTTAGCTCAGCGATCGTGCCTTTCTCCACCAATCCACCATGATTTAGGATGCTAGCATGTTGAATCTCTATGTCAACATCTATTTGTTGTCGTAATTGTGTCATTAGTATCACTTCGTCGATCGTTGTGTCATAAGAACTCAATTGTCTCCTTTGTGCTATCTCATCAAGGGCTTAAAATTGTATTGTGGTATCAAAAGCGTGAAAATCTGAAAACACACTCCAGATGTTCGTTGATTCTACGAATACCCGAGAATTTGGTTATCAAAGTTTGGTTGAACCCAAAGGACACTAATAGTTTGACACTTGCAACAATCTCATTTTTTTTCATTCACTAGTGGCTTGGAAATCAACAATAAAAATGAAAGATATGGATGTTTTATACAATAACATTGAAAGGTACAAATTTTTTGTGCTAATTACCTTTTTAATAATTTATTTAGACTCATTTGTAATTTTTTAAAAGTTTGGGAGTATAATTGTAATTTGTTCTTTTTGTTTTATTTAAATAGGAGGGTATATTTGTTATTTTACATTTTTTTTTATTGAGAAAATGACATTTTCCACAATTAAAGGTTTAAATAACAAAGCTTGATTTTATTACGAATAATTAGCACAAAACGTTTTTACCTTTTAATGTTATTGTGTAAAAAGCCCTTACCTTTTATTTTTGACATTTTCATCCCTATTTCACCTTTAATTGCGGAGAAGGTTCTTTTCATCAAATTTCTCAATTAAAAAAATATAAAATGAAAATATACCCTCCTATTTAAATAAAACAAAAAAATTAAAATTAAAGAACGATTTGCAATAATACTTCCAAACTTTTTAAAAAATTACAAATGAGTTCAAATAAATTATCAAAAGGGTAATTGACACAAAACATCCATACCTTTCAATGTTATTATGCGAAACATTCATACCTTTTATTTTTTAGCACTTTCACATTTATTTTCAAATTTCATTGTGGAAATCATCATTTTCATTCATTTTGTCAATTAAAAGCTATAAATTGATGAATATACCCTCCTATATAAATAAAAGAAAAATAAAGAACAAATTGCAACTGTACTTCCAAAATTTTCAAAAAAGTAATTTCTTTATTTATTTATTTATTTGTATTTTTTTATACAAATAAAATGACGTGCACTTGTGTAAAGATATGGTGTCAACATGTTTAGCCAAACATAATCTACCAAAAATAATAAAAATAGCTCTCTAGCATTGCATTCGAACTTGTCAAAATATTTATACAGTTAGAAAATATCTTACTATATAGAAATAACAGACCTAATTTATACCATGAAAAGTTAGACAAATATATGTGAAAGGAAGACCCCTCAAAAGCTCCCCCACCTGCAAGATATTTGCAAGCAGCTTTCATGGAGGGAAGAGTGGTACCAATTGCCTTGTCCCTATTGCACACTTGATTGTTCATCATATTTCAACGAGTCATTAATTAATTCAATTGCTTTCATGGATAGAATCTTAGAAATCATTTTTTCTACGAATTTTACAAATTTAGTATGTAATAATCCAACTTTTAACTTATGTACTGTTCGCTTTGGAAGAATTTGAACACATCTTACCTCTTATTGATTTCTATCACGACAATACGTGAGTTTAATTACCATGTTACACTAATTTACTTTTGAATTGTTTGTCTTTTACGTAACTAAAATTTATAATTGCAACCGAGTGAGTTGATATCCAACTTTTAAAGTGGAGCAAGTTGGTGTTCAATATATCATTAAAGTTGCATAACTAATCATAAAAATGGAAAGTATAGGAATCTTTATTTAATGATTATAGACCCTCATGGGATTATATCTTTAATTTTTATTGGATGCCGATTAAAGTAAAAACAAAAAACAAAAAAAAAAAAATCAAAATCAAAATCAAAATTATAAAGGCTGATGACAAAATTACTTTTTCTTTTTAAATTACAATTTTATTACTCAGAGAATATTGAGGACGATGATGCAATGCTTCTAATAGTTAATAACCAGATCGAGATAGTTTCACGAATGGTAATTGAAGTTCAAGTAAAAATTCAGATTGACCGTGAAAAGTATTTTCATTACCTATTTAACACTATTTAAATATTACAATTGGTTACTCTTTTAGTAAAGAAAAGTTTCGGTAGGGCGATCGTACCATCCTAAGTGGTGTGACCCTCCAATGAGAAATCACAACCTCATTAAGTGGTCCATCCTCACCCAATTATGTGAGACCACCTTGGAATTTAATTTTTTCTCTCCTTCCACCTCAAGTCTCGAGGTGACCTCACATTATTAGGTGATAGTGGGCCACCCGATGAGATGGTGGCTCCATATTCGCTGTATGATCGTTCCACCAAATTTTTTCTTCTTTTAGTGACATTTACTCTAGATTCGACGTACATTCATTAAACATTGATATTGACTAATGATCAGCGAATCAATGCCATGAAATTATAGCAATTCAAAATAAAACACGATTCTTGACGATAGAATCTCATGTTTAGCGAAAAAATTCAAACAACCCGTTTTAATCCTAACCCTAAAATTCATCATTATTAAATTAAATCGTGAAAATATCCTGAAGCTAATACAAGAAGTTAACTGAAAGGAATTAATCGTTCAACGGTCATTAATTTACATGAACATTTGATAGCTACTACGCCTAGTATGACATTAATAAGCTAAAAGACTTGTCAACTATGTAATAGTATTCAGTTTTAGTGATTAAAGAGGTCACAAAAATACTTCAATAACTAAATCGAAAAATTTCTTAAACTTTAAAGACTATTAGTGAAATTAACTCGAATCAAAACTGAATCAGAGATATTTTATTGTTTAAAAGGTCAAAACGATGAAATAATAAAAATTAAAAAAAATTAAAAAAATCGGTACATATAATTCCAAACCTTTGCTCAAGTTGCATTTTTGGTCCAAATTTTTTAAATGTGGCATAAATGGTATCAAACCTTTTCATTTTTTGTCTAAATGGTTCTCCAGCATGAAATCCATCTAAAATAGCCATTAGTTTTGTGCATGTAGCGCAACTGTCCTCGTTTTATTTTTATATTAATGTGCAACTTGGTCAAATGATTTTCTTCACTAAAAAAAACGTTTTAAGAGAAAAAATTTAAACAAAATTTTCATCTTCTTTCACTCACTCCAACCCACCTCACCACACACTACCACCATTGCCACACCACCACCACTATTGAATCGTTTGAAACTCTCGTCAGAAAATCAAGAGACTCGTTTATTAATCCATATAAGCAGGATAGGAGAAGATACACCATATGTAGTGACCTTCGTATCTACTAAACTCGAATAACTTTGGGTGGAAAGATGAAAACTGCAAATTGTATGATCTATTCTACAAATAAAAATAACTAAAATTTGCATATATGTATAGGAGGAAGGCATTTTGGAATTACTAATTGAAATGAAACTAAAATAAGGGCAATTACATTGCACTCACAAAGCTAACGTTCCTTTTGGTGGGACAATTTACACCGAAAAGAAAAAAAGTTGGGAATCATTTGAATCACATTTAAAGATTTTGAGTAAAATTGCAATTAGCGCAAATTTGTTTGGGACCATTTACGCAATTTCCCAAACAGTAATAGATTCACTTTCATGGAATCCCCGTTTTCTCTGTCATTGAGTTTCACACCAAACCTCACTTTATATCAGCGTCTCCTCTCCACTCCTCCTCCTTCCCAACTACCGCATTGCTTCACTACTCTCTCTATAATTCTCTTTTTCTCTCTCTAAATTCATGGATTCTGCAGCAACTACTTCTTCAAGAATAAAGCCTTTTTTTATAGAGGGAGATTACGGTCCTGATTCTGTTGCGGAAATGGAAACCGGATCCTCGGTTAACGGCCGTCGACAGAATCATTCTATAATTCCGAGCGCCTTTTATTGTAATTCTCCGCCGAGAATGAGGAATCTATCGGTATCTCCGAATCTGAGATCCTTTTGTGGCAGGTTTGTATGTGATGGATTTGACGAACATAAACCTCATTTTCTAGATGCGTGTTCTCTCTGCAACCAACCTCTCAGTACTAATAAAGACATCTTCATGTATAGGTACACCTTCGACTCCATTCTGCAGTGTAGAGTGCAGACGAGATCAAATAGAGATTGATGAAGCCAAAGAGAAGAAATTGAATCTCTCTGCTTCAGTGAGAGCCTTAAGAACAAAGCAGCAAACAAAATCAAGTTCATCCAATAAACCCCAACCAGATTCCCCTTTCCGTACTGGTACAGTCTTTGCTGCTTAACCACGGAGCTGAGCTCTACAAAATTGACTCGATAAAAAAATTACTTTTAAATAATATTTTAAATTAGCCAGATACCACGTCGAGGAGGAGTAGATATTACAATTCGATATTTTTCCTTTATTCCCTGGTATGGGAAGTGTAGATTTCATTTTTTTTTCCTGCTATATACGATTGAATTTGCAAGAAAATGTGACACGTGTGATACTTTAGTACTGAACATTCCCGAGCTGGAGATCAATTTTATAGTACTAAAACGTACTAAATATTATTTAGATTAATTTTTTCGGTTCAATATTGTTGATTATTATGTTTTACGAAGATGAATTGATTATAAATATAAAATTTTAACAAATATTTAGATGAATTGCTCTTTATATATATATATTGTAAAAAATGGTTACCATAATATTGGATCAGTATGTGGAAAGTTCCTTCTGTTTTTTTTTGAATTAATCAGTGATACCAGATTTCAAGACATTTTTTATGAGTGACTTTTAAGCTAATATGAAGTTTTGTATTTCAATAACTATCGGAAAAGGTTTTTAATTAAATTAGGAATATTGACCAACAAGAATGACTACAAACAACTACCTTAATTTGTTATGATAAAAATGGATTAACAAAGGGGATTCAACATCTTAACAATACTTTCACATATTTGAAAAATCAGTTAAAACGCTTTATAGATTAATTGAAAACTTAGGCATTAGTATAAAAAAAACTCAAAACTTATTGCTATTCGATTATGTTTGTTATTAATTTGAGCTCAATTAAATATTTAGTCCTTGTGCGTTCGACACTATACACACGAATATATTACTTGTTGACGATCACGTTCACTTGCGAGTTTTCAAAGGGTCAGGAATCTATTGAGGGTAGCTTTTCTGACCTTTGCTTTATTTCGAACTTGACGTGAGTTTTTCTCTGGGCATTATGAGTAAAGAAAAAGTTGAGGGAGAAATATCTATTAAGTTGGAAAAAAGAGGCACCAAAAGCAGGTTCTCCCATAAGAAAGAGGTGATGGCTTTAGGAGTGTTTGGCAAAAAGGAAACTTGGTAGGACCGAAAGTAGAAGCATAACTTCTACTGTACTAATATGGTGGAATTGGAAGTCTGTTATACGTGTTTCAATTGAGAGGATTAAAATAATATGTTAGTTCATTAAGGGGAGTCTTGATTTCCATTGAAGTTTTCGAAGAACCAAAACCTCCATATACAAGAAATTATAGTTATCCGTTATTGAAATTGAAGATTGTCACAATGAAGAGCATGAGAAAAATGAACTAGCTCTCGATGAGATAGTACCGGCCATTAGATCGTCTCATCACGATCTCTGGCGTCTATATATATATTTGTTCCATTCAATATTTAAAAAAAAAAATACAAAAATACACCATGCATTTAGAGTTTATTTAAAGCTTATATACTATATTTTAAATTTTGCATATCATATTTTAGTTTTGGTGACAAAAAACACACTTTGAGAGGAAGATTATAAATATGTCCAAGTTTACCGTCATAAATAAATAAACAGGCTAAAATACTCGAAAATAAAAATAAAAAATTACAATTTATAGATCAATTGTATAACACTTCAAATACCAGTTGATTAAATATTTATTATTCTTTAAACTTTATTACTAAAAGATTATGATAATTTATTAAATGTTTTTTTCTCTAAGTGCTTGTTTGTGCCCTGTTATTTGTGAGTAATGTATTATGAAATAGTGATTGATGTTGAAATGTATGGTTTAAAAAAATGAAAAGTTTTTTTATTTACGTGTAATATTATCTTAATGAAAAATGTGTGGTTGAAAATAAGTATTGTAGAAAAAATAATGTGTCATAATAGTAGACAAATAAGGCTAAAAATAAGGAAGTTTTATTATGAAATTTAAAACGTAAAAAGTATTTCTAAAATTGTCATGAAGTAGAGGTGAGGGTTCTTATATTGTCACTTAGAAAATTTTACTTTAAATTATTTTATGATACAAAATTATTGAAAAAACAATAATTAAGAAAAATGGTTTTAAGCAATTTTCAAATTTCGGTCTTGATGATAGCGAAAGATGAAGGCCTTTTCTTTTTCTTTTTTTTTTTTTCCAAAAACAATGTTTAAATAGATTCCAAAATCAATATCGTTTGACTAATAGACTTCATTTTCAAAAATTATTTTTCTATGGTATAGATATCAATTTTAAAAATGACTCTTACTCTTTTTTTATTTGATGATAACGAAATGTCTGTATTAACTGAAAAAAGAAACTTAGGGGGTGTTCTCTTTGTGTTTCAATTTTGTGTTTTGAGTTTTGAATTCATTTTGAGTTTTGTGTTTTGAGTGTTTGTTTTGAAATTGTTGAAAATGCGTTCTTTTTGTTAGTTTCTCAAAACAAAAAAATGAATTTTTTTTTTGAAATTTCGAGAATCACCACAACACTACCTCAAAAAATAAAAAAAATAAATTAAATTTTTAAATTTTTTTTTTGAAATTTTGAGAATCACCACACCACCTCCTCAAAAAACCAAAAAAAAAAAAATAAAAAAATGGTGTTTCCTGCATTTTCAATTTTTTTCAAGTTTTACACTGAAAACGTCAAAAACGACAAAAAAGTCGTTTTGTGTTTTCTTCACAAATTTTTTTTTCGTTTTCGAAAACGGGAAAAAGAACACGTTTTCACCGTTTTGAAAAATCGAAAACAGAAAACGGCCCGAAAATACTAAAGAGAACAGGGCCTTAGTTTCGCGCAATTTTTATTTTTGGGTTGCAATCCTTGGAAAAGATGTTGAATTTTTATTCAAAATAATAATAATAATAACAATCAATCTTCATAGAATAAAACACGTCATCGTTGAAAAGGAATTTTAAACTCATTTTTACTTGATGAGAAATTGCCTGTAGCGATGTATTATATAAAATAAATTTGACTCAGTCGACATATTATGAAGTGGAAATTCTATTTAAAAGTACATAAAAAATAAAATAAAATTAGCTCACATTATTATTGACAGAGATATATATACGCATTTTGGCCCCTGAATTGTAAATATGTGACGCGTGACCGTGACACTGATACATTTCGAAATGAATTTCACCTTTTTTATGTTAAAAATTATTTTCTATTACTTTTTTTTTTTTTTTTTTGCAATAAAGGGTTCTCAACCAAGCATATAAATCACCTTCGTTCTGTCCCAATTTTGATGAAAATGATATTTCATTTTATTTTTTGGGTTGGGGACAGGCGGGGGGGGGACTGAATGTAACTGCATTATTATAATTGTAGACTACGCATCTTAATACTTTGAAAACGTCATTTAATTATATTATTATCAATATTGTCAAATAAATTTTGCTGCTTGTATAGTTTTGTTTATCACTTCGTTGAAAATTGTTGAGCCAACAATGAGTAAATCAAGTTGAATGTAGAAAGTAAATGAATTAAAATAAAATTCAAATTTAATTTAGGAAGTAAATGAAATTCAAAAGTAGTTCAAATTACATTTAATCTATAATGATCCCAAATTTTTTTACGTCATACTCCATGTAAAATTTGCTTATAAAATGTAAAAATAATAAATGCTAATAAAATAATTAATTTTTTTTAAAGGAAATACGAATTAGACATCTCTTTTAGAGATTATGTTTGACGCAAGTTTAACTATTTTTGATATCTGTTTGTACCATTCGATATGACTGTGATGCAGTTCTCGAAACGAGCTTCTAGGTGACATGGACAATTTGTAAATTTGGCTAGCGTACAATCGTCAGTAAATTTTTAAAGTTAGCATATTATCGAAATTCTCAAAATACTAGTTTGGAATGACCAACTTTGACGCGCTGTAACTTTTACTATAGTTGGCTGTTTTACGCATCATTAACGAGAAGAAAAATAAGCTTTGAACACTTCGAAATGGTATTAATAATACAATATTTTGAGACGTCTCTTTTAGAGACTAAGTTTGACGCAAATTTAAATATTTTTGATATCTGTTTGGACCATTCGATATGACTACGATATAATTCTCTAAATGAGCTTCTAGGTGATATGGGCATTTTGTAAATTTGGCTAGTATACAATCGTCGGTGAATTTTTAAAGTTAGCATATTATCGAAATTTTAGAAATACTAGTTTGGAATGTCCAACTTTGACGCGCTGTAACTTTGGTTATAGTTGGCCGTTTTACGCACCATTAACGAGAAGAAAAATAAGCTTCGAACACTTCAAAATGGTATTAATAATGCAATATTTCGATTTTGTTTAATATCTTGTAATGAGCGCGTCAAAGTAAGCCGTAAAGAAAATAATTACAAATTTCTTGGGAAAAAAATAAAATAATAATAATAATAATAAAATTGTGGGGGTGACCCCATGTGGTCCGCCCATTTGCATGTGTAGTTTATTGAATTTCTTTCGTCTTTTTAATTTTTTGAAAATTCTCACGGGTACCTGAGCGTTCGCATGAAGCATAATTCGAGAATCAAAAAGACCTTAATTTTTAAGTCATACAATAAAAAAGGCCAAGCGAGATCGTTAAACGTTTGTCATTTCGTTACAAGTTGACAACTCGAAGTCCATATAGAATTGATTAGCTTTTAGCTTTTGAGTGGTATGTGAAGCATTTTTCATTGAATTTCATTTAATCCTAGTCTTTGTATATTAGATTACAAAATTTTGTGTAAGCATCGGAATATTTATTTTCATTTACTCTTTTTTTTTTTTTTTTTTC